ACTCCAACTACTACCCCAGCTACCACCACAACTACCACTCCAACTACCACTCCAACTATTCGTTATTCATGTGTCGAGTGTTCCTTCACCATCGAATCAACGCGAAACATTTGCATCAAAGTGAACAAAATGTTCGGAAAGAATCTTACTACTACAACTATAAGCTATTCATTTGTCGAGTGTTCCTTCACCATGTAATGAACCAGAAGTCGTTGCTTCAAACTGAACAACATAATATAATAGAATCTTGCAAGTACTACAACTGCTGTGAACTATTCATTTCTCGTGTTTTACTTCACCATGTAATGAACTAGAAATATGTGCGTCGAACTAAACAAAATAATAGAATAGAATCTTACTCTGAATTATTCATTCTTCGTGTGTTCCTTCAGTATGAAATAAACTTGAAATTTCTTTTTCCAGTTGAACACAATATCCCAATAGAACAGTACTACGAATTATTCATTTGTCGTATGTTACTTGACCATCTAATGAACTGGACATCTTTGCTTGAAACTGAACAAAATATTACAAAACAATCTTGAGACTACTGAAACCACTATGAGTTGTTCATTTTTCGTGTGCTCCTTGATCATGTAAAGAACTAGAGATCTGGGCTTCAAACTGAACACAATATTACAAAACAATTTTGAGACTACTGAAACCACTATGAGCTATTCATTTCTCGTGTCTTGCTTGATCATGTAATGAACCAGAAATCTTTGCTGCAGATTAAACAAAAAATTCAACAAGAGCCTTGCCAGTACTACAACTGGTATAAGTTATTCATTTCTCGTATGTTCCTAGATCATGTAATTAACTAGAGATCTTTGGTTCAAACTGAACACAATATCACAAAACAATCTTGAGACTACTGAAACCACTATGAGCTATTCATTTATCGTGTGTTCATGGAGCATGTAAACAACAAGAGATCCTTGCTTCAAACTGAACAAAATATGACAAAAGAATGTTGCCAGTACTACAACTGTTATGAGTTATTCATTTCTCTTATATTTCTTGGTCATGTAATGAGCCCGATATCTGTGGTCAAGAGTGAACAAAGTATTTAAATACAATCGTACTATGAATTAGTCGTTTACCGCGTCTCCCTCCAAGACGTACTAAAGTCTAAATCTATACTTCGAACTGAATAAAATATTCAAATATCATGTTCTTATGAGTTATTCATTTGTCATGTTCCTTCGCCACGGTATGCACTGGACATCACTGCTGTGAAGCGAACAAATTAATAGAAGAGAATCTTCCTCTCAAATATTCATTTGATGAGTGTTCCTCCACCATATAATTAGGTTGAGATCTGTGTTCGGAAGGGGAGAAACTATTTGGGCACAATCTTACTATAAATTATTCAGTTGTTGTATGTTTCTGTGCCCTGAATTCAGTTCGAAAGGTTTGTTTGGAACTGAATGAAATATCAGAAATGAATGTTTGTTTGAGATGTTCAATTGTCGTATGTTCATTCATCACGCAATGAATTCCAAATGTTTCCTAGAAACTGAATAAAGTATCTTACATGGTTATTTGTTTGAAGTGCTCGATTATCGTGTGTTGCTGCACGATGTAATGAGCTCAAACTCTGTGCTTGAAATCGAAGAAAATATTTCAATCGAATCGTCCTATTAATTATTCATTTACTGTATGTTTTTTCACGATGTAAGGAACTCGGAATGTTTTCTTCGAACTGAAGAAAGTATTTGAGCACAATATTGATATAAAGAATTCATTTCTCCTGTGTTCCTTTACTATGTAATGAACTCGAAATGTTTCATTAGAACGGAAACAAACTATCTGAAGTGAATGCTTGTTTGACATGCTCGATTGTCCTGCATTCGTTCACGATATAATGAACGTGAAATCTGTACTTTGAATTGAACAAAATATTACAAAAAAACCTTCGTATCAGTTACTCATTTGTCTCGCGCTCTTTCACCATGTGATGAACTCGAAATCCCTCTTTCGAATTGGACAAAAAACTGGAATAGAATCTTTATATGAATCATTTGTTTTTCGTGTTTTATTTGACCATTGAATAAACTCTAAATGTTTGGTTCGTACTGAAGAATATATTTGAATACTATATTCTTACGAATTATTCATTTGTTATATATTTCCCTATCATGAATTGAACTGGAAATATGCTGTTCGAAATGGAGGAAATCTTTGAATAATGTCTTGGTAGGAGTTATTCATTTGTTGCATGTTTCCGTATCATGCATTAGACTGATAATATTCTGTTCGAAATGCGGAAACTATTTGATTGTTGTCTTTCTATGAATTATTCATTCGTTGTATGTTTCCGTACCATGTAAGGAACTGGAAATATTTCTTTCGAAATGAAGAAAATATTTGAATAATGTCTTGGTAGGAGTTATTCATTTGTTGTATGTTTCCGTATCATGCATTGGACTGAAAATACTCTGTTCGAAATGTGAAGAAAATATTTGAATGCAATTTTCCTCTGAATTCTTCATTAGTCGTATGTTTCCCTATCATGTATTGAACTGGAAATATTCTGTTCGAAATGAGGAAAGTATTTGATTAGTGTCTTACTTTGAATTATTCGTTTGTTGTATGTTTCCGTACCATGTAAGGAACTGGAAATATTTCTTTCGAAATAAAGAAAATATTTGAATAATGTCTTGGTAGGAGCTATTCATTTGTTGCATGTTTCCGTATCATGCATTGGACTGAAAATATTCTGTTCGAAATGAGGAAAGTATTTGATTAGTGTCTTACTTTGAATTATTCATTTGTTGTATGTTTTCCGTATCATACATTGAACTGGAAATATGCTGTTCCAAATCAACAAAGTATTTGAATAGTGTTTTAATATGGATTGTTCATTTGTTGTATGTTTCCCAAGCATGCATTGAACTGGAAATATTCTGTTCGAAATCAACAAAGTATTTCAATAGTGTCTTAATATGAATTATTCATTTGTTATATGTTTCCCTACCATCTACCCAGTTGGAAATATTCTGTTCCAAATGAAGAAAATATTTTAATAGTGTCTTACTTTGAACTATTCACTTGTTGTATGTTTCTCTACCATCTATTCAGTTTGAAATGTTTTGTTTGGAACTAACCGAAATATCTGAAAAGAATGTTTATTCGAGATGCGCGATGGCTGTGTGTTCCACCGCTATAAAATAAACTCAAAATGTTTGGCTTGAACTGACCAAAATACTTGAATCGGGGCTTAATATAAAGTACTCATTTGTTGTGTGTTCCTGCATTATGCAATGAAGTCGAAATCTTCTTTGCTAACTGACTTAAGTATCTGAAATGAAGGTTTGTGTGAGGTATCCGATTGTTATGTTTTTTGCGCGATCTTGGAAAGTAGTTAAAATGTTTGTCTTCAACTGAGCAAAATATTTGAATAGACTGTTATTTCTAATTATTTATTTGTTGTGCGTTCCTGTGCCATGCAACGAACTCAAAATGTTTGATTTGAACTGAACATAGTATTTGAATAGACTGTTCGTTTTAATTATTCATTTGTTGTGTGTTTGTGTACTATGTAACGAACTCAAAATGTTTGATTCGAACTGAACGTAGTATTTGAATAGACTGTTGGTTTTAATTATTTATTTGTTGTGTGTACTTGCGCCATGTAATGGCGTCGACATCGTTGGTTCGAACTGAACATAGTACTTGAATAGAGTATTACTTTGAATTATTCGTTTGTTGTGTGTTCTTGTACCATGTAATGACGTCCAAATCTTTGATTCGAACTGAACATAGTATTTGAATAGACAGTTACTTTGAATTATCCATTTCTTGTGCGTTCCAGGATCATGGAATAAAGTCGATATCTTTCTTTCTAATTGAACTAAGTATTTGAAATGAATGTTTGTTTCAGGTGTTCGATTCTTATGTTTTTCGTGACCTTGGAATGAATCCCAAATGTTTGATTGTAACTGAACATACTATTTAAATAGACTGTTACTTTATATTATTCATTTGTTGTGTGTCCCCGTACCATGTAACGAACTCTAAATCTTTGATTCGACCTGAACATAGTATTTGAATAGAGTGTTACTTTATATTATTCATTTGTTGTGTGTTTCCTCAACATGTAGTAAGCTCAAACTCTGTGCTCGGAATTGAAGAAACTATTTCAATAGAATCGTCCTATTAATTATTCATCTACTGTATGTTCTTGCACGATATATGGAACTCAGAATCTTTCCTTTGAACTGAATCAAGTATTCCAACAGAGTATTGGTATAAAGTATTCATTTGCCACGTGTTTCTTCACTATATAATGAGCTCGAAATGTTTCCTTGGAACGGGAAAAAATATCTGAAGTGAATGTTTGTTTTAGCTGCTCGATTGTCCTGCGTTGGCACCCGATATAATGCACGCGAAATCTGTACTTGGAATTGAACAAAATATTAGAAAAGAATCTTACTATGAGTTACTCATTTGTCTCGCACTCTTTCACGAAGTAATGAACTCGAAATCCCTTCTTCGACTTGTAGAAAATACTAGAATGGAACCCTCGTATGAATTACGAGTTTTTCGTGTGTTATTTGACCATAGTATAAGCTCTAAATCTTTGGTTCGCACTGAAGAATATAATTGGATGAAATCTTCTTGTAAATTGTTCATTCGTTGTATGTTCCTCTACGCTGTAATGAACGCGAAATATTCGCTTGGAACTAAAAAAACTATTTGAATAGAATCTTAATATAAATTATTCATACGTTATATGTTTTTCCATTATGTAATGAACTGCAAATATTATGTTCTAACTGAACAATATCTTCGAACAGAATCTTAGGAATTATCCGTTTGTTGTATATTGTCCAATCATGTATTGAACTGGAAATATTCCGTTCGAAACGTAGAAAATAGTTGAATGGTGCCCTCTTATGAACTATTCATTTGTTGTATGTTTCGCTATCCCGTATTGAACTGGAAACATTCTGTTGGAAATGTAGAAAATATTTGAATAGTATCTTTCTATGAGTTATTCATTTGCTGTATGTTTCCCTATTCAGTATTGAACTGAAAATATTCTGTTCGAAACAAAGAAAATATTTGATTAGTGTTTTGATATGAATTATTCATTTGTTGTCTGTTTTCCTATCATCTATTGACCTGGAAATATTCTGTTCGAAACGAAGAAAATAGTTGAATAGTGCACTTTTCCGAACTATTCATTTGTTGTATGTTTTCCTATCATACATTGAACTGGAAATATGCTGTTCGAAATGAAGAAAATAGTTGAATAGTGGCTTGCTATGAATTATTCATTTGTTGTATGTCTCCCTATCATGCATTGAACTGGAAATATGCTGTTCGAAACAAAGTAAATAGTTAAATAGTGCCCTTTTCCGAACT